TGTCACCTCTACTGTATATTCATCAGGGATATGATTTAGGTCATACCTGAGTGGCCTAGTGCTTTTCCCTACTTTCTCCAATTTAAGCCTAAATTTTGCAACAAGAAGCTCATGATCTGAGCCACAGTCAGTTCTTGGTCTAGTTTTTACTGACTGTATAGAGCTTCTCCATCTTTGGCTGCAGAGCACATAGTCAATCTGATTTCTTTGTTGACCATCTGGTGATGTCCATGTGTAGAGTCGTCTCTTGGGTTGTTGGAAAAGAGTGTTTGCTATAACCATTGTATTCTCTTGATAAAATTCTACCAGCCTGTGCCCTGCTTCATTTTGTACTCCAAGGCCAAACTTGCTTGTTATTCCACTTATCTTTTGGCTTCCTACTTTAGCATTCCAATCCCCCATGGTGATAAGGACATCATTTTTTGGTGTTAATTCTAGAAGCTGTTGTAGGCCTTCATAGAACTGGTCAACTTCAGCCTCTTCAGCACGAGTGGTTGGGGCATAGACTTGGACTATTGTGTTGTTGAATGGTTTTCCTTGGATTCGAACTGAGATCATTCTGTCATTTTGGAGATTGTATCCCAGTACTTCTTTTCCTGCTCTTTTATTGACTATGAAGGCTACTCCATTTCTTCTGAGAGAATCCTGCCCATAGTAGTATACCTGATGATCATCTGAATTAAATTCACCCATTCCTGTCCATTTTAGTTCACTGATTCCTAAGATGTCTATGTTCAGTCTTGTCATCTCTTGTTTGACCACATCCAGCTTGCCTTGATTCATGGATCTTACATTCCAGGTTCCTATGGAGTATAGATCTTTATACCATTGGACTTTCCTTTCACCCCCAGATACCTCTGCAACTGAGTGTCCTTTCAGCTTTGACCCAGTCTCTTCATTCTTTCCGGAGCTACTAGTATTAGCCGTCTGCTCTTCCCCAGTAGCCTATTGGACACCTTCCGACCTGAGGGGCTCATCTTCCGGTGTCATCTCTTTTTGCCTTTTGGTACTGTCTATGGGGTTTTCATGGCAAAGATACTGAAGTGGGTTGCCATTTCCTTCTCCAGTGGATCACATTTTGTCAGAGCTCTCTGCTATGACCTGTCTGTCTTGGATGGCCCTGCACGACACAGCTCATAGCTTCATTGAGCTACGCAAGCCCCTTTGCCACGACAAGGCAGTGATCCATGAAGGAGACAAAAACATAAAGTCACACAGTAATGATCAAATGGAACTGGTCTTGAAAATATTACATATACATATATGCTCACACAAATGCACATAACTATTCAAAATTCCTGTCCTGCATTCTTAGTGTAGATTAATTGCAATACCTTTGTGTAGAGGCTTACCATGTATGTTTAATGTTTTCTATTAGACAGTGCCAGAGGCATCTATACCAAGCTATGCTAAAAATCTGAAAGACAAGATTTCTTTGGTGTCATCTCTCTATAAAGTTATTCAGGACCCACAAAGTGAGGTATGTAAATATGTTCCGAGTTATATTGGAGTTAGAATAACTTTTGGAATAAACTGTGCCTATGGATGGAGTGGCAGGAAATACAAAATATGCAGCATTCAAAATCCCATTGTTCTCTTCAAGTTATCCTGTTTTAGGCTCCCTTGGTGCTTTAGATTCCTTTAGATACTCTTGATACTGCATATTACAGCTTTTTAAATATATTTAGGGACAAGGTACAGATTTGTTTTAAAAGAAGACAAATGGGGCATGCTCAGATGGAGAGTGACATAATATTTTATATGAAATATTACTAGTTTTCAAATAGACAAATTTGATCTCATTAAAAAGTGGGAAAAGCATGGAGTGTGTTAAACCACTAACCAGCAGTTCATGCTTGCTTTTGTTTCAGCTGCTGGAGCCAGTCTGTCACCAGCTTTTTGAATTCTATCGCAGTGGTGAGGAGCTTCTACTGCAATTCACATTGCAGTTTCTTCCAGAACTGATATGGTGCTATTTGTCTGTTTCTGGCAGTAAAGACCTTCAGAGCAGTGGCTGCATAGAAGCACTTATCCTAGGAGTTTACAATTTGGTTTGTATTTACAGCTGAAAAAACAATTAAAAATAATCTCTTGAACAAGGTGCAAAATATTGTGTGACATTCCTTATTTCTTTTAAATCTGTTATATCTAACTCTGTGTAACGTATTTCACTAACAGAATGAAAATGTGATTTTGCCTTCATTGCCCTATGGGATGATCTTTTCTAAAAGGCAGGAAGAGTGCAACCCTTTTATTTGTCTTGAACCCCTTAGTAACATTTGATACCATTGATCTTGGCATGCTTTTGGGTTGGCTGTCTGAGCTGGGTGCTGGAGGTACTATGTAGCAGTAGTTCGATTCCTGCTTGGATGACTGATTCCAGAAATTGGTGCTGGAGGTTTATTTATTTACTGCTTTTGGATTTATCGCTGTATGCCTTGGCAGATATGCTATAGAGTTACAAAGAGCTCTATTTTAGCCCACACTGTTGAACATCTTTGTGAAACCATTGATGGAGAGGTTATCCAGAGATATGGACTGAGTTGACACCTGTATAGAGATAATGCCCAGCTTACTATCTTTTTCATCAAAATTAGGAGAAGCACAGTAGTGAAGCATTCAGAGGACTGCATGAGGGTCAATAAACTGATGCTTAGTGCAGACGAGACAGAGTTTCTTTTAGTGGGTGGTTCATCTGCCTGGCTGAGTGATGCTCACTGTGTTCTGGAAGGGGTACACTTCCCCTTTAAGGAGCAGGTTGGAGGCACAGGTGACCTCAATAGCATTGAGAATCTTTTTCAGTTTATTATTTATTTATTATATTTCTACACTGCCCATCAGCCAAAAGACTCCCTGGCCAGTTCACAGATCGGATTTTTAAAATTTCTTTATTTCTTTGACTTGTATGTCACTCCATTAGCGATAAGGCTCTCCGGGTGGCTCTGTTCAACATACTAAACAACAGTCAAAACAATTCAATTCATAATACTTTTTAACAAGTCACAATATAAAAACCAACAGTAAAAATAAATACTTTCCACCAGGCCTAGTTGAATAGAAGATATTTAAATGCTGAACATCTTGTACATAGGCCTTCAGTTTTAAAAAGAAAAGTGGTACTATATTTTTAGTTTTTTAAATGCAGTTATTGTAAATAAAACACCCGAAGTGAACCATTCAGAGAACTTTGGCTATTGAACAGAACAGAATGAAATAAAGATAATAGACAGACAATTGGGTTTTGCTGCAACAAATCAACAAATACCTTGGTTAATGGCATTATATATTATGAAACTGTGATTGTTTGTGTTCTGACTTCTAGATCTCTGCATAGTAATATCTTTAAAAATGTTTAGCCTGTATTTCTAAATGAAGGAAATGTGTGTCTACTCTAATGCAAAATAATTGTATTAATGTACACAATTAAACTTGTGTAATTCAACAAGTTATGGTTCAACAGTTCAAAAAGTATCAATTTTTGCGGCATTAAAACTATTCTAATTTTCTGGATAAATTCACAAATACATTTAAAGCCAATCATGCTATGCAGGACTCTTAACATATTGAGCAAAAATTGGCTTTGTTTTCATTAGTACTTCCACTGGAATAAACATTTTAAATGTGATTTTCCATGCACGTATCTGCTCAGCAGCTGTGCACATAAAAAAGTTAATGTGTTATGGAAAGTTCACTGTATTATCTTTTCTGAAGTTATAAGTTTTCATTTGTAAGTTTTTATATATGTTTTCAATATATATTTCAGAATATGATATAACATGTATTTATTTATGCTTTACAGGAAATAGTTGACAAACAGGGTCACAGTAGGGTATTAAGCTTTACAATTCCATCATTATCCAAACCTTCAGTGTATCATGAAGTAAGTAAATTTACTTTTGCTTCCAATTTGATAATGTTGCAGCCTCTCTTAAAAGAACATAATACGGCCTTGGTTTTTGTCATAATGATAAACACTCTCGTCCAAGTTGTATGTTGTTAATACAAGTAGTTGTTGTATATCTATTAATGCATTTTCCATGCCCACACACTTTCTACTAAAAATAGTGTTTAGGGCAGCTAACAAAAAGGTTATAAAGCCACAGTTATTTTAGAGGGCCCACTTGCCAGGGTTTTTGAAAGATGATTAAGATTCATTCTGAACAGTCTAAAAGAATCCTTACTATGAAGTACCTGAGGTAGAAAATATGGAACACTTAACAGTAGTTATATCTAGTTAAAGATGAAACTCTTTATGGATTGGCTGCATAAAGGAAGAAACAGCCTTGTATTTACAAGAGCTTAGCAGGGCTATCACAGATAGGCTATTTTGAAGGGCTTTCATATACAAGGTCGGAGACAGCTTGATGGCACATATCAACAACAAAGTTGAATGTCTAGCCACAATAATGCTTTCTACTAGTTTTGAGGTATAGCTATCAAAAATCTTTTACATTTAGAAAATATTTTGCTTTCAAAAATAGTTGAGGCACTGGGATAATACATGAAACCAAAGATGGCAGCCTTGTTTTGCTATTCTAATCTCACAGTGTAGCATGGGGAAAGCAGGGGGGAACACACTAAGCCGTGGTGGCTGTTAATCACCTGGGCTCATCCTGGTAGCATGCCTGGTGATTTCCGTAATTAACTTTGCTGGATCTGAAACTGGCAAATTTGGGTAGGAGGGTCAGTTAACCACCTGGCAACCCCTGCGGTGGGCTGCGAATTCGAGGTGGTTTGTATCCATCCTAGCCACCCATCCTCGCTGGGTTTGAGCATGCGGAGCAAGAGTAACAAGGAATGTTGACTGACTTGTACAGGGGTGTCTTAAGGAGTCACAGTGGCTTATTAACCACCCTTGTGTTGTGCCCATCCCTTTGCTCTCCACCATTGCTGTCCCCCTCCACAAAATGTAGGTCGTACATCCTGTGAGCCTGTTCCGCATGCTTTAGATCTTGCATGAGTTGAGCAGACTGTGGACATTCACTTACAACTTGTAGAGAGGGGCATCACTGTAGGGTTCTGAGTTAGTGCACTGTCCTTACTTTCTCCTGTTTTTATTTTCATGTTATTCCAATAGCCTAGAATACCTAAGAAGGGCCTTTATAAGAACCAAATTCCTATTGATAATTAGACTTAATCTATTATCAATAGTTTCCTGCTAATTAATACTTGAAAGCAGGCTGTTATTCACAAAAAATTCAATTTGTCTCCAGTAGATGTTTGGGGTTAGAATAGAAGAGCAGTAGATCCATATGCTGAATTTAATGTACTGTCAAATCTCTATAAAGTTGCAAGGCAAGATGGGGACATTTTGAAGTGTTAGGTGAACTGGAAGGAGTATTTGAATCTCTCCACTACTTTGTTTTATTTGTTTTCCTTCTCACGGGGCTCCAAGACCAGAAATAATTCCTACTAGGAGAACAACAACTGCTCTTTTCTTTCTAAAGTGGTTTTAGTTAAAATAGTACAGGCAGCAGGAGGTTCAGCTCTCCTCTCCTGGCCACTGATGCTTTTAAATTGTTCTCTGCTGCTACTTCATAGGGAACTGTTGTAACATCTCCTCATGCCTTAAATTGTTACTGAGTGGCAGATAGTATTTTATGTAACATATTTTAGTAATACTGGTTTTCATATTCATGAAAGATGTGCTACTTACCATGTGTTCTTCACACATGTTACTACTGTTTTTTGGGGGTGGGGGTTAAGTTATTTACTACTGTTGTATAAACAAGTGAAAATTCAAGTATCTGCTTTCTTTAGCCTTCCAGTATTGGTTCCATGGCTCTTACAGAAGGTGCTCTGTCTCAACATGGCTTATCCAGGGTTGTGTATAGTGGACCTCATTTACAGAGAGAAATGTTGACAGCACAGAACAGGTAAAATGTATGATGCAGCTTTCAATCTTGCAGGTTAAACAACTCATGTTGAACACTTCTGAACTATTGTTTCTTAATGCTTTCATATTCTAGAATTATAGATCCATTAAAAGTACAAGTTAGATTATGGTGGCTTTCTGTTTTGATGAAAGTTGACAGAATATGCATTTTCATTGTGAGTATCAAGCCTTTTGTATTCTTCAGCTAATCAAACTGCTTAATATTTTTTTCAGGTTTGAAGTATTGACATTCCTTTTGTTGCGTTACAATGCTGCCTTAAGCTATTTGCCTGCAGTTTCTCTTCAATCGTTATGTCAGATCTGCTCAAGGTAATTCTCTTGCTGAAAGGAGAATAGCAGACTTAGGCTGCAGCTCTATGGGAGTAGGCTCGAAGGAAAAATGTAAGATAAACTTAAGTAGAAACATGTGTAGTGCTGAGTGTAAATTAAAAACATTTAAATGGAGAAACCTACAAAATAAAAGCATAGGGCTGGCTGTATATGAAAAAATCCCAGTTTAATAAACCATTATTAAAAAGAAAACAAGCCTTGGCTTATTGCTACTTTGCTTTGCTTTTTGCTTGTCTGTTGGAGCTGATACTCCTCAGGTGTACCAAGTGAGCTGCTGTTTAATCTCTAACCATTCTAGAATCACCCAAACCCATGCTCTCTTGTAGGGTTGCTAGATGGCTTCTTCTTTTTCTTTTATAAAGATTTTTAACTAAAGACTAAAAACATCAATCATCATATACATCGGACGTGCTGGGTCAGCCCCCTACAACATATCTTTTTAACATTCTACAATCATACTCAAATCGATTTATAAAAATTTAAAAACATCTTTAAATCTAAGCCAAGTCCCATTTCTCCAGCCAGTCATAAAAAAGGTCCCAAGTTTGATAGAATTCAGTATCTTCTTTCTCCTTCAGTGATAGAGTCAATCTGTCCATTTCTGCACAGTCCAGAATCTTTTTTAAAATCAGTTCCTCAGTGGGTAATTCCTCTTCCAGTATTGAGCAAATGCAATCCTTGCCACTGTGATTAAATGTAACATCAAATACATTTCTTGTTTGCTAATATCTTCCGGTATAATGCTTAACAAGAAAATTTCAGGTTTAAAAGCGAAGGGTTTTTGTAGCATTTCCTCAAGTCATTTATGTATTTTAATCCAATACTTTTTCACATGTTCAGAGGTCCACCATATATGGTAAAAAGTACCCACATTATGTTTACATTTCCAACATCCGTTTGACATATTTGGAAACATCTTAGCTAATCGACTTGGTGACAAATACCATCTATAAAACATTTTATATAAATTTTCTTTATACGAAGTTGCTAAAGTTACCTTAATATTGCTAGATGGCTTCTTAACCACACCAGCTATCCACCCTCACTGGGTCATTATGTAATGACAAGCTATGTCTTGTGAAGGTGATTAGTGAGATCAAATAGCACATACCAGGCATGTGCATGGATGACTAATAAGCCACTGTAGCTTATTAACTACTTGCGCACATGCAAACCTGGTCAGTGTTTTCTTTAAGAAATGCTGCAGTGATTCACACAGGTGCATGATGGCCCAAGACACAGCACTTGGAAAAAGTGAAAATTGACCCACTAGAAGGCTGCAAAGTTCTGTTCTTCCTCAGAAGTGGAAAATGGAACAGAATGGTGCCAGAATGTACTAAGCCTTGTATGCAGTATAAGAAGTAGTAAATGACAAGAATGCAGTCTAGAGTGAATCCATTTCAGTGGACCATAAACATTTTATTCAACATCTTACATAAAAGCTTATGGAAATGGAGGAACTCTGCTAAGCTGAAAACAGCCTTTCCATGGGCAAAAGAGGCTTACTGCTAGTAGAAGGGCTCCTTTGGTACAAACCATAGCTATGTACTAGGTTAGGCCCTGTGAATGGGAGGAAAAGTGTGTTCATTTATGCAGTTCCATACACCCTATGTGAGCATTTCCTCTGTGTGCGTAGTCCCTGTTCTGTGAGTTCCCACCCCTGCTCTGTTGAATGGCAAGGTCTGAAGTAGGGTTCTGCTCGCGCAGTCAAGGACTTCACTTTATCCCGTTCTTCAGTCATATGGAGCATTCCACAAAGCAGTGACATGTTTCCTAGTGTGTTGGAAATGAGCAAATTAATAATTAATTTACTTCTTTGAGTCCATCCTAGTATGTATGAAGTATATGACAACATTTGATGGACTTTTCATTATATTACTCTAAAGTAGAATTACTTATCTTTAGTTCTGATGCTCAGTTTAAGAGCTCATATGTTGTAGTACTTCAATAAAGGGTAGGTATTATATAATCCCTGGATTTTCCCATCTGTACTCCCTGCTTTCTCCTGAAGCAAACACTGCTGCTCCTGCCTAATCAGTTCTCCTTTTCCTGAATACTGTGAGGTTTATTTCCCACTTGTACTTTGCCTTTTGATTGTAATATTATGTTAAGATTGGTTTGGCTGTAATCTCATACTTAATAGTAGTAACTGGATATGAACTTTAGGTACAAGGTTAATAATTCAGGAAAGCAAAAAATCAAGACATTTCTGGATTTCATAGAATGTGTGGTTTCTGGCTGTTATGCAATACAGTGAGAGGTCTTTATTGCTGCTATTCAATAGACTATTAATTACTCAAACATCTCAGTTAAGAGTTATAAAGATTAAAATTATAATTTAAATATATGTACTTTTTCCATTTTCTCTTAAAATACTAATTACATAACTTAATTTATATATGTATAGTATATTTTAGATTGCGTATAGATTTTAAGTAGTTTTTGCCCCTTTGTCCTCTGTATGCATATAACGAGTGGCCAAACTGGGGCTTAGGAGCTGCATACGGCCCTTTGAGTTTATTTTGTGGCTTGTGGCTTGTTATTTTGTGGCTTGTGGAGCACCTATGGGCTCCAACTTGCTGCTTGCAGGCACTCACTTGCTGCTAACTGTCCACGGTTGCCCACTCACAGCTTTCAAACACCTGACATTTACCATATGTGGCTCTTCTGTTGAGCAAGTCTGGCCACCTCTGGTATATACACTTTGGCTTTTTAAAGCTAATTATTTTGATCAAAGCAGGAGATAGACATGCACTTCAAACCCTTTTATAATGAGCCATTTCAACTGAAAGCTGGCAGTGCACTACAGGAATCTGAAACATTTGATTAATAGTAGCTGTAGTTGCTGCTATATGCTCTTGAAATATTTATAATTGCTGCTCATGAATCAATCAAATGTACTTGCTACTTCAAATGGTTCATTAACTAGTTTGTTGGACAGTACTGTATTCATGGCATACTCTTCAGGCACCTTGCTAGAAATCCTTGCCACCTACCAGTTGCAGATGCTTGAACAGAAAGTTTAGAAAATAAGAGCATTTCATGAGACAGCTCTAATTTGACTGCTCTTCAAATACAATTGCTAGTTAGGTACACTTTGTCAGTCTGATTATTTCACCTGAAATGTTTCTGGATTCTTTTTCAGATTATCATTTTTGTATTTCAAATGTACAATATTCTTCCTGTTATAATGACTTTATTAAAGTTACCCTATCACACATGATAAAGCAATTTAAATAGAAGATGCTACTGCTAATCTTATTGTTTATTTTAGGATCTGTGTTTGTGGATATCCTCGCCAGCAAGTGAGGAAATACAAAGGCATAAACAGCAGGATTCCAATTTCCTCAGAATTCATGGTGCAAATGTTAACTGGGATTTATTATGCTTTGTAAGTTCAGTAAATGTATGTCTTGTACATACAAAATAATACATTTCACAATGGATATCATATAGTACAGAATACTTGGTTACCTGACTACTGTGGTAGGGTCCAGTGATCCTAAAGATACTGCTGCAGAAAATCATTATTGATGATTCTCAGCAGTTGATACTACCAGGAAAGGCAAGCAGAAAGCTTATGGAATCACTTGCCTACCTGACCTGGTTTAAACTGTTCATATAACACAAAACATTAAAACAGATGGTTCTATATTTTAGGTCTAATCTGCAGCACATACTGATGGCCAGAATCTGGATGACTAGAAATTACTAGTTTCATATATTTGAATATCAGAATGTTTTCAGATAACTTCCAAGCTTTCTGGAATGCATGTTCTTGTGCATTCTGTTAATGTTATAATAAGTGGCTCACCAAAATTGAACAGTAAGTTTTTATTTATTTTATTAAATTCTAGTTATAATGGAGAATGGGATCTGGCTCGTAAAGCAATGGATGATATTTTATACAGAGCACAACTGGAGCTGTATCCAGAACCACTGTTGGTAGGTGTCTTTATCAAATTCTTCAATACAAATTCTTCTATTTATTCATCTTTAAAAATATGTATTTCACTTCTCTAGTTCACATAAACTACCTGAAGTGGCAACAATTAAATATTAGAAATAATTTCACACAATAATCATTGGCTATGTAGCAATAAAACATCACAGAAAAAAAGGGAAAGGAAAGAAGCAAAAAGCAAATTGGACACTTGTCAAGTTAGACACTTGTGGAAATTAAAAACACAATCAGGTGTTATCAAAACCCTGACATGTTTAGAGCCAAGTGAGTAACTTGGAACAAACGCCATAATTGGCACTACTACAACAGAGAAGGCCTTCAGCATCTCCAAAAATTGAAACATCTGATGGCAAGCCATGTTTTCTATCTTAGTGCAACAGTGACACTAACCCTGATCCATAATAAGTTACTTGATAATTGCATACAGAAGAAGATGGGTAGCTTTGCTGCAGATGAAAGAGCTTCTTTGCTGCATTTTCTTAAGTACTGCTATTTCATTTAGTCACAATAACTTATTATGAGCCACTTATAGTCTAGCCTATATTATTCATAGGAGAATATGAAAAAAACTTGCTGGCAGGGGTAGCCTTCTCATGTCTCTTCTCCCTCCACTGGCCAAAAACTACATAAATACTTATGCAATAAGCCCCCATTTTATCTTCTAACATATTTAAACTATTGCAATACTCCAGCAGTTTGGGGGACAGAGGAAAGGATGTTTTGCTCCTGAGAATTGTTTAGTAGTTGCCTACATGTGGATTTTTGGGAAGAATTACACATCACTGTTGCCACAGCACTGTTCATACGTGGGAGGGGAGGTAGTTTTGGCTTTTTCAGGTTATAGTGTGACATGATAAGTTCATTTACAATGTTAGTTTGATTGGGGGCCAGGCACGTTATGAGCTGTGACAGCATTTCATTATTGCCTTTAAGGCTCTGAAAACTCTACAGGTTGAGGGGCATCTGTCTCCTGCCCCTTCCTCAATATTAAGAGACATAGGAGTAAGCTGTCAAATGAAAGATTCTTCCATACTGTTTGAGTGGGTTGCTTAAAGACACTAGAAAAGGAAAATGTGATTACAACTGGGCTTCAGCAACAACTGTAAAACAATTTGAATTGCCTGCTAATCCATAATTGTGAACCAATGGAAGCCAAATTATTAACTTATTTTGACTTCTGTCATGTGGTGCATTGCTTGGTATATAGTAAATGTTGCTTTAACCTGAGTTAATACGTTAATGTTGAGAATCTCACCCACATATTTTGTTGTTGCTTTTTTAGGTTGCTAATGCAATAAAAGCTTCATTGCCTCAAGGTGCCATAAAATCTAATAAAGAAGGTACAAAATGCATTCAGGTTGAAATTACACCTACTGCATCTAGAATATCAAGAAATGCAGTGACCAGCATGTCAATTCGGGGCCATAGATGGAAAAGGCATGGTAAGAAATGTAATAATTGAAACAGCTATTTAGAATTAAATCCAGAGAGCCAGTGTGGTGTAGTGGTTCAGAGTGGGGGACTGGAACTCAGGAGATCTCCACTCAGTCCTGGAACTCACTGGGTGACTTTGGGCCAGTCACAGACTCACGGTCCAAGCTACCTCACAGGGTTCTTGTTGTGAAGATAAGATTGAGAGGAGGAGGAGGAGGATTATGTAAGCCACTTTGAGTGGTTTGCAAGGAGCAAAGGCAGAATATAAATATAATAAATTAATCCAAAAGATGAGATTCTTTGCCGATGTGGTGTACTTACATAGTACATACATAAAGATTATGTAAGATTGTAGTACACGCATAGGCAGTTTCCAGCAGGGTGCTGTGAACCTGTTGATTCCATCGTATGAGAAATACTCACTACTTGCAAAACAGAGATTTAGTACTTTGGGCAGCCAACAGGAAATTACCAGAAATACTTGTTTCTGGAACTTGGTAGGTCAGTGGAGCTTGTGGAAGACAGCTCTTCCAACTTGTCCCAATCTGGAAACAATTGTTTCTACTTATTCCAGAGCTTTCTGTAGGAAGTATTAAATCTCTATTGCACAGTGGTTGATCCTATTTGTGCAGTGGAATTAGTGGGGGGGGGGCACTTGCATGACACAACCAACTGCTCCCTATTGGATACTGCTCCAAATGTCACTAAGTTGGCTGATGAGCTAGTGTCCTATTCTATTTCTTCCATTTAAAGCCATAGAAAGCTATGGCTTTCTCTGTTAGTAAGCATGAATGTAAGTAACTACCCAAGGTTTATTGTTCATGTTACTCTATCATCAGGTTTTAAATCAGACATTGCAAACTTAATGTGAGTCTGTCCTTACCTTACCCTTACCTCTCATGTCTAGAATTCAACCATGATTAGAATATTTTACTCAGGTGGAAAACTTTTGTGTATCTTTTTTTAACAACCAGAATGCAGACTGAATGCCCAAGTGACTATAAATTAGGATAGGGGCTTTTTTGGTCTGGAATATCATCATCAAACATTGAAGGTTGTCAAATCACTGTGATTATCTCATTTTAGAAATTCTCTAGCTGTTAAAATTACCTTATAGTTGTTCTCGTAAGAATATGTTGCAGGAGAAGAAAGCTGTACTAGAGTATAAGACTTTTCACTTTCATTTATTTATATGATCATCACCATAAAATGATTTAGTCACTTTTTTTCTACATTGGATCTTGAATTTAAAAATGGATCCTCCCAATTAGGTGATACGGAGTTTAATCTCCTCCTGTAGAAAATAAGAAGTACCCACTACCTTGTCAAATGGTTGATTTCTAAAGCAGTTGGTTAAGCATATTTTTCTACTGTTTACACTGTTACTAGTATCCTGGGTTCACTACTGTGATTGAAAATTTTGTATTGAGAGTGTCACAGAGAAAAATCCAAGTAAATTTTCGTTTTGCTCTCAGTATGCCATGTGTTGTGTCTGTTGTTGCTGTTTTACAATAGACATAAATTAATTCAGCTAGTGGAGCCCTCAACTTACTTTGGTCTATGGATGTAAAGTCCATTACTAGCAAACACATTTATAGTCTCAGTAATGACTTCTAACTGCTGGCATAGTTCTGTAGAGTATTTCGGTCTGCAATACTGTGAATTAAAGCCTGATCCATACAGGTCAGTGGTAGCAAATGGACACAACCATTTTGTTGAATGTAAGCATATAAAGAAGTTACACATCTTCTAGCAAGTGCTGCTTTAAAAAAATGAAAATACCTTTGGTTACTAATTGGGCCAGTTGCTTCTTCTGCCCTGTCTCTTCCTGGTTGGATATCATTATTGAGGAAACTTTGGAGTGTTGCCCATATTCAATAACTCATAGGGTAACAGTCAAAGGTTACAGATTATAGTACCTCCTTCTAGCTAACATAGTTTTCTCCCTTTTTAATATAGTACTAAATGTATTGATAGTTCAGAAAAGATAAATAGCTTGCACTTTCCAAATCCATTCTTTAATGTTGCCTTCCTGCAGGATTCATACTCGATGATAAAGGTGCTGAAGTTCACGAGTCATTGGTTAGGACAAGTGTTTGCTGCAGCAGATAACAGTAAGGCAAGAGGCTTGATAGTATTAGTAAAGCAACTGTCTCCAATAAAGATGAACAGTTATTTTGTTAAGAAGAAGGCTAATTTGCCAGGTATGCAAATATTGCTGCAGTCTCTTTCAGTTGTAGGTTATGACTTTTCAATTCAGGAAGCTGATCTTATGCTGTAATGACAAAAGTGGGGCTGGGTAGCAACAGCTACCACCACTTTAACTCCTGGAAGAGAATTTTGCAAGTATTACAGCTGTTAAAATAAGAGATCAGGGGGAGTATAATGGATACTTTTACTGTTCCTTATTATCAGTTCTCCAAATAACTCCTGTAGTACTTTGTGTTATTAGCAAATGTGCATATGGGTGGCATCTGTGTGAGCTTGCAAAAAATGCTACCCTAAACCTCTGCAGCTGAACATGATCCTTACCACTGTGTCCTGGACTTTCCACATAGATATAGGACAAAATTGTTCACCCAAACCTTCAGTGTGGACATCATAACTGGAACTCTTGTACTTCAAGAATATCATTGAGGTCCAGATCAACCCCAATAAATATTCTGAAAAACATGACTCTAAATTAAAATCTCAGTACTGTGGAATATAGATCCAGATGCTTCTTTAGAAAGTATATCTCACTCAACAACTGTGATCTTAGCTAACCAGTTATTTATCAGTTGCATATGGTTTCAAAGAAGGTTTGATATTGTTGAATTTTTTCCATCTGTAATATATTATTGCACAATGAGAGCATTTGGGAGAATCTTTGTTCCTATTTATAAAGTTAATTTGCATAGAAAAAGTACAGATCTAGTGAGTTTAGTTTCTTATACCTGCAGTGAATTTGATTAATATCAACTACTTAGCAATCTATGAAGGAGATATTAGGGCAAAATGGAATAGAAACCTATGTTTTTAGAAATGGATATTATTCCCTTTAAGCAGTAAGGTTATGACAAAAAATGAGGAAAGCAAGGTGTAGAGCCTTGAGTTTGTGTCCTGGGTTAGAAGACAGGGATTGACATCACAGTGATTTTAATAGTAATCAGAAGCATTATTATTCACCATTTAAGAAACCACAGGTACCCTATTATTTATTTAAAATATTTATATGCCATCCTATTCGCAAAAAGCCTCAGGACGGCTCACAGCATAAAATAAAATATAAATAAAATTCCTGACCCACACCGGCTGCAGTTAAAAACATAGAAAAAACAATGTTAAAACTTACTAAAATATTGCTGGAATAAAAAGGTCTTAACCTGGTGCCGAAAAACAAATAACGACTAGTCGGTATCTGCATTAACAAATATGTTAAACAGAACCAGAAATCTTCACATTATCTGTTCAGTTAATGGCCTTCAGCAGTGTGTTTATAAACAGTAGTACACTGAGAAAACAAATCTATGGTAAACAGCAAATTCCACTTACAGTGTTATAACTCAGTAGTAAAGTAGGTAGGCAATAGTAAGTAGGTTTTTTCCAGCAATTTGGCACAATTTTTGACAAAATTTAAGTAAAATTTTTTTGCATTTAAGATAATTTCCTGTAATATAATAAAAATGCACACAGTATGCTGTGCTGTTTTCTGGGAAATCCTGGTAAGATCTATGATGGCAAGTTAGTAATCACGAAATGTATTGTCTGGCAAAATAGTTCTGTAGTTTTAAATGGCTCTGTTATATAATTTAATCATTAATTTAGCTGGTGCTTATTTATGACAGTTGGACTTTATGCATTGCAATCTTAACCATGTTTGTACTGATCTAAAGTCCTCTGAGTTTGGAGACACTTAGTATCTTAGTCCTCTTTACACAGAAAGAAGTGGCTAGGGGATGCTGGGGAAGCAGAATTTAATTATGTCTAACATGCATAACATTTTATCCTTAATCTCAAGGCAGAATCAACTCTGGCCTGACAGAAATTCAGATGTATGGGAAGAGCAATCTCATCTGTGCCCTTTCTATCAAATTCTGCCTTATTAAATGGGGAACTGCTGAAGCCTCCTAGTGTAGTGGAGAATACTGTAGGTTGCTACAAGCTCCAAAAGGACAATTTCTTTTTGCATTCTCTCCAGTTTTCCTTCTGCCCCTTTCTTCAGCTGACGCCCAAAACATCCTGGATGTCCCAAAAGGCACTAAGTATCCAAACATTTGTATTGGGTTATTTCTGGATTTGATTTTTACTCTGAATTTACAAACTAATATAGTTCTGCATAACTGGGGAGTGCAAGTGTACAGAAATGGTGGCCTTATTTTTGGTCGATTCCATTTTACTACCAAACAGAGCTTTGGATCAGATTTTGTATTAGTAGGGACAAGTGGAATCTGCAACTACAGGTTGCAGTGTATCCCAGAGCTCCAAAGGGACCAGTCTTCTGCAAAGTTTCCATCTGCATGAAAAAGGACACCTCGCCTCTCATTCTTTTCCACAACCCCTCCACTCTGCCTTACAGTGCTAAAGAGCTCTGGAATAGAAGTATTTTATAGCTCCATGGGATGGGGTGAGGTGGGGTATGGCAGAGGGAGGATTCCTTGTGATTGGGATAAAGTGTTCCTTTTCCTACACTCTAAAATATTACTGGGATAATGTTTTCAGCTTCATGATTTGCATTCCTCTAACTCTAAAGTTGCCTATTAATGATATTAATTCCAAGCTGTTAGGGGCTTGAGCTGATGTTCCTTGCTCCCCAGCCTTCCATTCCCTACCCCACCTCTCCATACTGACATCTCAAAATTCCATGGCTTGACTGTACTCAGACTGAACTGAGTAGACTTGCACAATTTGCCTCCTCCCCTTTAGACCTTCTTTCCCCATTTTCTCTAGGCTTAAATACCATTAACATTGTGGGGGTCCTGGAACATGATTGGAGTGTGTTGGAGTTTGGAATTTTTATTTTATTTGTTTTAACCTGCTTAAAAACTCTTTATTTCTGCATTCCATGGAATTTCATACTATGTAGAAATCACTTTATTATGTCTGAGTGGTCCTGTGTTGCTTCTTTGAGAGACTCTGAGCTACCCAGGTTTGCTATATAAAACATGACTTTCCTCCTTATTATGTATGCAATCAACCATTCTCAATCCTTTAATAATATTATTCCTATCTTGTTGGCTCTTGCAATGTGTACTCTTTTTATTCCTTAAAACATAAACCTTCTGCTCAGTTCTGAGATTTTATTTTAAGCAGATACATTCTATTTTTTATTCAATTTATTGTTCTAGCTGTTTGAATTTAAAGAATAAAAATATCCATCTGTTAATATATCTTCTGGTGTCCCTCCACTGAAGAGGCTTTTGTTGGCAAAACAGGAAGCGGCAGATTTTCAGTTTTTAACTTAATGCAGTCTGCTATGCCCTCCGCTCTTTCTCAAATTGTTCCTGAGGGACACCAATTGGATATGACCAGTAATCATTATTGCAGTCCTAATATTAAAGATTCCTGTTCATAACAAGAATCAAACTTTTCCAGTAAAGTAAAAAGTAGGTCAGGGTTCCTCTTTATTACTTCCAAGTTAGCTTTTAAAATGTATGCATTGGGTTTTTAAAAACCTATTAATTACTAAATGCTCTGATTAATGTTGTAGAGATTAATGAGTTATGTCACTAATTTATCATTCGATTTTCAGTGCTTGATTTATGAAACTACATTAATGACCCAGAGTTTCATTGCTGCCCATGTCTTTTTCTGACTTAACTTTCACAAATGTGATTTTGCCAGTGTTTGTGTAGTCTCTGTATGTATTTTCATAGTGGGCAGAACATCCCATTTTATTCAAAAGCTCATGATCTTCCAATGACCTTCAGTCTCTGTTTTGTCACAGATTTTAGTCTAACTCACTGTTGCAATTTGTTAATAAAGCTGGAACTTATAGTTGCTCCCCCTGCCCTTCTCAGCCACATGTGTACGTTGGCTTACTTTTACTTCTTCTTCTCTGTTTTTGCTAAACCTTTTAGCTACCTTGAGATTGTCAGTGACAGAGTGGATTACAGTCAGTTTTATATAGAAACTAAAATTCTAGTGCTTGGAGACATATAAATCATAGGAAAAAGTGCACAAGGAAGTCTTCCTTTGCATTGCAAAGGGCTTGTAGGATTCAGCCCCTGAAAGATCTTACTGATAATTTTAAATTCATCTTTATTGAAGTTTCAGTGGAGAATTATTTGTTTTTCTTATCAAAAATGGTTTGGCATATCTTGCATCCTCTGCGATCATTTTCATGCTATCTGAATGCCCATATGCCTGCAAAGGAAACAAGGCCCAAAATGTGAGCATCAGTTCATGTGGGAAAGGATTACAGCCTGTTTTAAAGCCAAAAGCAGGGAAGGGAATGGATGGCTGGATGTCGTTTGTGCTTTAGCCATCCCATAACTCATTTTTCTAATAAAGCCTTTAACATAGCAAATCTCAATATACAGGATAACTGTCAATTTTATATAGCATAACTTTAATGCAGAAATACTGCTGCTATTCTAAAAATGTTTCAGTTGATTTCCAGTCTTATTATGGTATAACCTCAAGCAAATTGTTTCTTATGCAATTATTGGTTTGGTTTTAAAATATCTATTTCAAATGAATCTATTTATACATTTAGCTGCTATAGAAAGAAATGTGTGATATTTGGATCTTTAAAAAAATATTGAGAGTTCATTTTTGAGTTTCTGGTGACAGCAGAGTTTCTTTATGTACATTTATGTAGAATTACTTTACCCCCTTACTACTAATATTGCTGAATAACTAAAGTCCAGTAAGCAGTCATCTGGCCTCATAACACTCAGCCTTCTGGTTTTGTCAGATTTGTCTCTTCTGTTTATCACCATGTTTTTTGTTTCAGCCATCTCTTCTTTTTCTTCTTTTTTGTCTTATCCATCTTTAATTCTAGAACAACCAGATAATGCTAATGGCACTACTGATTCGGGAAACTTTGTCATACCCGAGATTAGTGTCACAAATGTGTCTGGAGAGAGGACCGGGAATGGGGAAAGAGGCAGAGCACCAGCAGAGAGTGATGCTCAGCATATACAGGGTGTACAGGAAACGCCTACAGATCCTAGAGTTGACAGCAAAGGCTTGCCAGAGATCAGGAGGCAAAAATCTGTAAGAAAAATAATGGAGGATGGAATAAGCTTACCTGGCAGAGTGCAGTTTTAGCACAGCACTTTGTAACTACACTCAAAGGTATTGACTGAAAGGGTCACTGCTGCATGTTTGGAGAATTGCAGTATGCAATAAATATATTTGCATGTTGCCTTTAATAAAACACAACTGCATGCTTTGCACATAGAAATTATCTCTGTGCTGAATACATATTGATAGTATGCCACTAGCAAGTATATTTTAGCTTGGGAAACCACACTGAGAGAGTTCATATTAGGAAGCAATGTCAACCCTGTGATCCGTATTCTTACATTGGCAACACCAAGTCAATTAAGGTGCCTGTTTAAACAGAAAAAACATCCTACTGTTCCCAGCATGCCCCAGTCAGCTGGTTGGGGTATGCTGGGAGTTATAGAATATTTTTCTGTCAAACCTGCATAGGATTGTGCTATTGAGGATTTTTCTTACAAATGTGAATTAACCACATGAATTAATTTTTCTTTCCATTGTAACACTGGAAATCTTGTAACCATGAGCACATGTACTCCAATGTGTTCAGTTTCCAGACTTTTCACCAAGCATAACTCTGTACTGCAGAATGTGACCTTTCAGTCCAAAACAAAACAACACACTGTTGGGTTTGCTAAAATTGAGAACCTGCAGGTGATACTGCATTGGTATTACAGTGCCCTGATCATCTAGTTCAATGATTAATGTGCTATGCAGATAGTATGTAGATGCCTTTGCTCATACTTGGGTTCATACTTCCTTTAATATATCTAATCTTTGATTCTATTGCATGAATAACAGGAGTGCTTATAAATCACTACAAAAGAGATTTCAAGCATGCTTCTTGGTTTAAATAAAATCACTTTACGATTGTAATATAAACTATACTGTGTACATTCTGTCAATGTGACTTAATAGGTAAGTTTCCTCACTGCTCCTTAGTCTTTTGCTTTGTGCTTGAAAATGCCAAAATACAATGATATAGAATCTAGTTGGTTCCAAAACTTGACTGTATAAACAAATATATTAATATGTATTCTCACTTTTCTCCATGTAGGTAACGAACTAGGAATTCCAGAAGAAGAATTAATTGAAGTCTCTGAAGTTGATGAAGGTTTTTACTCTAGGGCTACTTCTACAACAAGTCACTCTGCTTTAGCAAACAGCAGCAATACCAGCAACAAGACTCCAGTAAGCAAGGGTCAGAGAAGGTCTGGAATAAGCAAACTTGGAGGAAAAGAAAAAGAAGCTGTTGGTGAATCCTACAAAGAACATCTGTCTCGTAAACAAAACCAGAGAGCAATGAGTGAGAATCTAGAGCTTTTGTCTTTAAAGAGACTGACCCTGACTAGCAGCCAATCCCTGCCTAAACCAGGCAGTCATAGTTTGGCTAGAACTAGCACTACTCTTTTCAGTAAATCATTTGAGCAGGTTAGTGGAGTCATAGTCCCAAATAATCACAATAGCACAGAGGCAAACCGGTTTTCAGTGTGCAGTTTGCAAGAAGAGAACTTGATTTTTGGAGCAGAAAGAATAGAAATTCCAGTTTCAAACAGGCAGTCTAATCAGCAGCGACCACCAACTATCAGCATTACACTCTCAACAGACTAACACACATCTGGTTTATTTATCAATCTAAATAAGGATTCAGGTGAAAGGTTACCCTTGTTTTAATGTAGGGACTAAGTTGCTAGTTTAGGGATTGCAATTTTTAGGTGAATAGTTCTGTAAATATTTTATAGTAATGGGGTTATTCTGTAGGACTCCTGACTTTGCAAATGAAATATGTAACAGTAGTACAATTAGGTTTGTATTGGAAAGCTACTCATGATGGAGCTGTACCAGGGGAAAAACTTTAATAGAAACTGTAGTGTGTTTGCCAGCTTTAACAATCTGTTTTGATTATAATGGGCTATAATCCAGAAGTTGTACTAAATCCAAACACAGCAAGAACCTTTCCCCCCACATTTTTTTTCAGGGCCCACCGAAGTCAAAGCTGCTTTTTACATTCATGAAAGCACTTCAAAGTTGCATTCAAGATGGAAACTTACATTTGGAAAAACAAAACCAATTTGTGTACAGACAACTGCTACATGAGTAAATAGATTTGCTCAGTTGAGGTCACTGTGTTGAGTTTCAAACTTTCATTACTACTACCAGTGTTCAAGTATAAGTAAATGTTCTTTATCTTATGAGCCAATAGCCACTTGGCAGCAGTCCTTTTTCAAAACATAAGGTGTATGTCCATCTGTTCTGCAAAAGAAGTAATGCAGCCTGGTTATTGTTTTTGACATACTAGCACTATATTACCATTTAGAATATATATAGTGGGAGAGCATGATTGTGTTGGCCCCACCTCCTGGTGTGTTTGACTTAGTTGTCATTTACCTTTTGTTCATGCAATGGATTTAAATGAATGGAGCTCAATGTTTGTGTGGTCCTACCTGCATACCTTCATTGCGGCATTGCACAAAGCAAGGGCATTTGGTTCTGTGTACATCAGTCTCCATGTAAGCCTGAAATGCACTGTGCAAACAGGGGCATACTGATGTGATCCTAATTCTCCCATTGTGTGTATGTTTCCAACATCAGCATAGGAATGCTAGTTCCACAATTACAATTTTATAGTGCAGCTGAGTTTAGTTAGGAGGAGCGACCTTTTCTACCTCAGAATCTGCAAGTCAGCAAAAAGTACAACATTGGCTTCCTATTGTGTTGTTATGTTTGAATTGAATCATGCATTACTGGCATTTTTATTAGCTAATATTTCAGGTAAACAATTAACATGGGAGTAGGTGTGCTGTTTCTGTCATTGCTTCTTTCTTGCATTAAGGTAATATTACAAGTTGCATCACATTAAAGTATTAAACTTAGTAAGTATATGGGAGGTGGTCTAGCACAGAACAGGTGTACATAATTACATATTTTGGAAGGGCATATTTATATTAGACTTTGTCTCCTAGATCATTATCAATTGAAAAACAAAACTTCTGAGTGGTGCAGTAAGATTTAAAATGATTTGTTATGGACTTCAACAAAGTCATTTCTGCAAGTTTGAAACAAATCCCACTGTATAAGCAGAAAACATCTCACACACCAGAGTAACTTTTTGGAAAATGTGGGATTAATGAGAGTGGGTGAGGATTCAGTGATAGGTCCCTGTGTGAGCAGGAGTGCCTTCTGCTTCTTCATGGAATTTTTGTGGATCTGCATGTTTATCTTCTTCCCACCCCCTTACTGGTTATGGTGTCACTTTTCAGCAAAAGCACCTTCCAGTACACACCCACATTATAAACTGCATTCTTCTAAAGGAATGTTTAAAGGAATTGCAAAAAGCTATATAGTTAGTGATCATGGATTTCACTGGCATTATGCTTAAAACCATAAGCAGCTGAAGCCCTTGTGAATAGAAGTCAAATGTTCCCATACAATGGTGTTAAAAATTCTGCCTTGAACTGAAAGAGATTCCTTTCTCTGAATTTCCAGAGTTCTCTAGTTGAAATTCTTAACCAAAATTAGCATTTTTTCCTCTAATAGTTTGAACTAGACATTTCTGGAAAATTGTTTTCTTTCTGGAAAATCTGGGATTTTTAAATGGAATTGAAATGTTAATTTAATATTTAATCTTTTGAAATCACTGTATTTTTCATAACAGTATTAATATGCTTTAACAAGCTAAAGCACATACAGTTTTCTATATATTTTAAATTTTACAGGTGTAATGAAATTCTACTTCATAAAGGTAGAAGAACTTTTATACAGGAATATACAGCCATTGTAAATGAAAGCTCTTTAAACTTCTTGCTGCAGTTCAATATTTAAGATGCCACAACATACAAAATGATGGTTTCTAAATGTTTACAGTGCTGTAACTTTTAGTATATGGGTAGTTTTGTTTTAATAAAACTATTTTTTTCTTTTTCGGCACATTTTGCCACATGCTGTAATCCATGTTAGAATAACATATAGTTCCACAAACTTAATTTACAACTAGGCTTGTTGCTTAAACTAACTTTCAAATAAGATGTATCCCACTTTTCATATTTATGTGCATCCTGAGGTGAAAGTGGGTTTTTTTAACATATACATTTGTATTTATGCATAATCCAAAATACCAGCTGGAGTGGAAAACCATAACCTAACCTATGCAGCCATCTTTCGATGTTGTATACACAGTAAAAATAGAAAATCTCAGTGCAGTTTGTTCAAGAAACTGTTCCTGATAAACATAGTTGGGGTAAACTATGAAAGGGTCATTAGTATAACATTTTGCCTATGGGATACTGATTTGGTGCACTATGTACAATTCTCAGCATGCCCCCAACTCTTTACCAAATCTCACCTTTTTAGGACATGAGCATTTAAATTGCATAATATATAAACAATATATGTTCTTTTCTTGAGCTTTGTCCCATCTTGATCAAAATGACTGGTGAGATATTTGAGCCTGGAAAAACTAACAGACCTTGGATATGGGTTGTAGCATATGTTTATTAAGTCTTTGATGTAAGTGGCAGCTTCCATTCCAGAAAAGTATTTTGCTCTTCTATGCCACATTTTAAAGCTTCACAAACTTGAATTTTAAGTGACATTGTACAGTACAAGCTCTGAAATGTAATAGTGAATTTTGAAACTAATTATGTTTGATTATCCCTCTGAGTATTTGCAACATTCTGGAAGTTTAAGGCAATTGATTAGTTGTCTTCAAAAATGACTTCAAAATTGTGATGTATTGTATAATTGAACATGTGAAAAAAAATTGGGATTCTTTCTGTGATCGGTAAATGTTTTCTTTTGTAATTTTAAACAACATTTTGGGGGTTTTCTTCAAAAGCAGGCACTTCATTTAGTAACTCATTACTGAGTTGTGAAATGTGGTCAAACTCGGTGGAAATAATTAGTTTAGAAGGTTAGTGAGTCATGTCCTGTAGCAAAATAGGATATACTTTGGATGTTTTTGTTAGGCTTCACTGTGGTGACAAATGGCCTTTTAAAATAAGGGAGAATAAGAAGCAAGAAGAAATTAACTTCAGTGAAAATGTTTGAAGACCACAACTTTGAAAGAACATATTTTAGCATTTTTTGAAAGAACAGCACATTGATTGAAACAGAAGATTTATGATTATTTCTTTTTGTGATGGACACACATTTTGCCTTTTCATGGATTTTAAATCATCTAGAATTTTTATGACTCAGTAACTGTAGCTTTTTACATAGCTGTGTTTCTACGTACTGAAAACTAAAACAATAACATGAGAATTACAGGCAAGATGAAATAGCAGTTGGATAACATGTTTTCCTTAACATGACACATTTTAAATGTATGCCACTTTCCCTTTTGTAGTGCAGGTTTGTGAATACATTTTGCTTTGGTAACAAAAAACTTGTATAGTTTTAAAAATAAATTGCTTCTCTAGAAGTCACATTCCTAAAATAAGGTGTCTACGTTGATTGTGAATGTGCTTATAGTCTCTAGAATAAGCTACCTGGATTCGTGGGCTTTGAGAGTATGTGCATTATAAATACTAAAGTGCGAATTAGTGTTCTGCTGTGTGTGTAATTTTGAAGTAATAGCGGACAGAGTATATCCTTTTCATCATTTGGTCTGGTTACACAACCAAATGATCAGGTTGCAATAAAGTAGGGAAACTTTCTTAAGTCTGATGGCTGATTTCCCTTATTGGGTAACCTCTGAGACATGCACACACTTGTGAAGATGTCCCCTGCAGTTAGACTTGCAGAAAGTCTCCCATTGTAGCAAATAGGAAATAAGAGCTCCATGGGGAGGGGTCACAAAAAGGGGGTAACCCTCCCCTTCCAGATGCAACCTTCCCATTTCCCTCAATGCTGCAATTAGGCTTGAGGAAAACTTGACAAAGCCTTTCCCTAAAGCACGTGAAGTACCAGCTCGAAGGAGACCGTGGAGGGGCATGGGCTTGCAACACATTTCCACAATTTCCAACTTGCATGCAGTAGTTAGGCTTGAGGAATGCCTTAGGTTGGTTCCAGTAGAAGCTTTATGCATTCCTAATTCCTATGAATGTGTAACATGGAAGACTCCATGGGCTGAAGGTTCTCCACCCTGTACTAAGGCCTCATCAGAAATGCCATACATTAAACTAGAATGGATGACATGTTGTTTTGCCTAAACATCAGTGCACTGCCAGACTGGTGCCTGCTGAAGTGGTTGGAGATTTGTGGGGTGGTGCGGGGGGGTGCAGTTTGTGGATGTGGGTGATGAGCTAGGATGAAAGTGTGTGTACGGGGAGTGATGAGTGAGAGGTTAAGAAATGTGTTTACTGACAGATGGTGTGGGGGAGACAAGAACTCCAAGAATGACCAGAGAAGTATATAACAGTGCTTCCCAATCCTGCCTTAGTTACTTCAGAAGGTTACCATGATCAGTGGTACCAAGAATTGCTGAAAGGTCCAGCAGAGCCGCAGAGGACACCCTTTCCCTGTTCTCATGCTGTAGATCATCCATCACGGTGACCAGAGCATGTAGTCATATCCAGACCTGAAGGCAAGACTGAAATAGATTTAGGTAATCATCTTAATCACAAAAGCTCTACCACTGAGATTCCAGCACATCTTGCCCGGGGATGGAATATTGCAGGCTGTCCAGAAAGTGTCCAGAACAATGGGAGTCAGAATAACATGTAACACCCTCCTGTTTGACAAGATGGAATCATACCTAGTACCTGCTAGACATAGCCATTTGCGTGTGTCATCTGTGAGAATTTCCTCCTGTCTTTGCTCCCAAATGAGCTTATTCTTGGATGGCCATGATAGATAGCTCAGCTTTGGTTTTCTTCTCCCAGTCTTATTCCTGATTAGAAATGTGTTGCTTAGTTCCCTGAGTAACAGTTACATCTGAACTATACAGATGTACATTATGAATTAGAATCTGTTAATTATGGATTATAATCATGTACTTCATGAACCTCCCATTTGCCTTGTTCACAAAATACTCTCTAGCTTCTGTTTATATCTTGTTTATATGAATTGAGCAGTTATCCTCAGTAAGATCGGAAATTCTTGACTCCCTGGATGTATGATTATGGCAGTAGTACCTTGTTTACCATTTAAAAGACTCTTTCCAAAAGTTTTTGATATATGAGTAGGTGCCACAAATGGTAAAGTTCATAAGGAGTTATGAGATTCTTGGACAAGTTAGGAGGGTACTTGGATCTTCCTGGGACACAGACCTGAACTCTGTAGTGCTGTACTGTGATCTGTTCTGTGGCTCAATAGACAGAAGCAAAACTACATCAAAGTGACTGCGTGTGTGTGTATGTGTGTATAGTGTATGTATACTATATATGTATGTATACTATATATATAGTGGTCTTGTAGCATATCTGCCAAACAGCCACTGCTTGGTCTGAACTAAGATAAGTTGCTTACCAAATGGTAGTCTCAAATAGTGTTGTTAAATGTATGTCCCAAACAAACGGATCACAAGCAATTTAAGATTCCTAAATTTGCAGTTGAGAGTGCTAAAGTAGCAAAACTGTTCATATCTGGTTGGCATTTAAAAGGCATTCTGAAAGCTTTGATACTTGAAACTATCATCCATGCCTTCTTACTTTAATCAGAGCTGGTACAATATAATTGAAATTGAACATATACAAAATGATAGTTTCTCATAAAGTGCAGTTTGTACATTAAGAAAGCGGTGGAGAGAATAACAAATTTAATTAGCAGTTTAGAATGTCTAGTAAACATTATTCATATCCTTTTATTCAGTGATTACCTTTGGCTGCAAAAAAATAAAGGAAAAAACACTACCAGAAGATATAATGAAAGATGTGGATGGAGGCGGGGGAAACCTTATATTAGAATCCAGGTATCTCGATAGATAATGTATCATGTGGAGATTGGGGAAGTTTGTTAAAAAAAATAAAAAGTAAAAACTGGCAAATATTCTTTTGGATCTGATGTCATGCAGCTTGGATTACACTAGATTCTGACTGAATTAATTGCACTTAAGTCCATCTGGGATCAATAGGAACCAAGTTATGACTAATTTGTCCCATTGAATACAGTGGGATGTAATTTCAATTAACTATGGCCTAGATCCAACCCAAAGTACCTAGTTTGGTCTGAAAGCTATTGAAAATTCTGTTGGCTTAGTATGTTCCAATTAGAAGCAGATTATGACCACACACTTACATAATGTAAAAAGCTACATATAAAAGAAACATCTTCACACCCTTTCAAAAAGTCAAGAAAATGGGAGCCACTCCATAGGTTAGGATTGACACAGGGTGCCTGCCCAACAAGTGCCCTCAAGAGCAGCCTCTTTTGCAGATCTTCACAACCAGACAGGTTCATAATGTCCCTTAGGCAGCAAAGTCCTAAGCCACTGAAGGCTCTAAAGATAAAACTAGCATCCTGAATTGAGTCTGGAAAGCAATGGCAATAGGGCATGTCTTTCAAAACAAGTGTAATATGGTTCAGTACTGTGCACTGGTTAGCTTCCTAGTTGCCACAGTTTGCATCAATTGATGTTTCTAGACACTCTTCAGGTGTCTACTTGCAACACACAGCAGCAGTGTTAAGTGTGACATAACTGGCTGGTGCACCACTCGTAATTGTGCAACCACTGTCCTTACTACCACTGCCAGCTGAAGATCCAGGGACAGAGTAGGACTAAGCAGCACCCCAAGCTTCAAGGAGAGCACATGGTGTTCTTGGAAATGTTGGATCCCTAATCTCTGAGAGGGGAACATTAAAATCATGGGCTGATAAGGCATGTTGTGTCTCTCTGTGTGGGCTAATAGTTGCTTCATCAGCAGGTTGGCTGGTACACAATTCGTAGGAGGGAAAGGATTTGTTCACCACCAGAGATCACAGAGATGCAATTTGTATAATTCCACTTCAAAAAATGGGCAACAGGAGGGGCACATGCAGGATTCTCAAGCAAATAGGCTTCCATGTGGAACTTTGTGCAGTAAGTGGCAGTGCAGAGAGGGAGTGTGTCGGCCCCCTCACTGCTGTGTTGGCCTGGAACTAGGGCCAGGCTCCCTCTGGCAGATTTGAACTCAGTGGGAGTACATTTTGTCCTTTCTCAGATAAATGCAGTAGAGCCTTCACACATCATGCCAACCTACCCAGGCAATAAGTCATGGTATGTTGCTTGTTCTGCCAACAACCCACAGTGTACCTGACAGATAATTGGGTTCACCATGGGTTGTTGCCCCCTCTCCCTGCGGCCTCAGTCTTCCTGTGCATATGCCAGGAGGCTCCATGGTAGGCCCAACTTGTTCTTACCTCTCTGCCGCAATCATAAGCTGCTGAGGTTTATTGTATCCTCCCCCCCGCCCCCCCAAATTGCAGTCTTTGTTTTGACAGCCACCTCTGTTTTATCTACAATGACAGCCAGTTTGTCATCTTGGAGGGTCTGCAGTTGCAAACCTCATTTAAAAGTCTTTTTGGATCACTAAATGTGCACAAATATTTGCATAAGTTAATTTAGTTTTCTTTCAGTTTATCATAAATCTGCACCTGTACAGTTACAGAGGTCCAAAGTTGGGCAGATTTGCCTGAGCGATGTCCAGAGAGATACCTGCTTGCAAAGTGCAGCAAGTACCAGACATGGATATTAACCTGGAGAGAATCTAAATAGCCACTCCCTCCCCACCACCCTTGATTGGTTCAAAGGTGAGCTGATGAAAGGTGAGCTGTCATGCCAAAACAAAAGCACAAGTGATTTGTGCTCATGAAAAAGGGGGTGGGTGAGATTTGCACCCCTGTTGCAGTAAGATCTCTATTTTGGACTTGGTGGTTCTAAGGATGGTCCCACATTCCCAATGGTTCCCAAGATTCTAGGTGCTCATGAAAATAGAAAAAATGAAATCCAGACTCTTTTAAAAGAAACTTGAGGTTGTTTGGTTTTTCTCACAAGATTTCCCATGGTTCCTCGGCAGGCCAATATGTAACATAGAAACAGAAACAGAGCGAGTCAGAAGGGGTCTCCCGGACCATCTAGTCTGACCCCCGGCTCCAACCAGCTACGCTCATGCCATGCTCAGACGCTTTGAAGGGGCTGACAGTTGCTTTCAAAACAGAGGTTGCAATCTCAAAAAGGACAAAGCTAAAGAGGAAGAAGATTGCAGCAAACCAGTGAAAGTCACCTCTAAGTGCTTCTTCAGTACCTGTGAGGTAAGAGTCCCCAGTGGTGGCCAGGAGAAGCCTGACAAGAATTACAGGGGTGGGGGTTTGCCACTCTTGGCAACAGGTTTTCTTGCCCCTTCCCTTCTCCCACAATAGGAATGGCCACTTAGGTTCAGACAATACGCCAACCCCTTGCTGGTGGAACAGTTCCTCAGTACAAATGGTCCGATGGCCACCCTGAGTTGTCATGCAGTGTGATCCCAGCCACTGGTTTCTTCAAGAATTTAGGAGGTTCTAAATTGGCTTTAATGTTGT